ATATTAAGTGTTTAGGAGGCACAGAGAATAACATTACCTTCAACAGGAACTGGTGGATTTGGAAGTGGTGGATGAAACGTTGCATCAGTACAAGGTGGAGTGGCTATTACAAGTAGCAAGTTGGTCATTCCAACTTTAGCCACAGAGAAAACCCTAAAATTGAATATGAAAATATCTTATGGCAAAATACACATTGGGTAATATATCACAGTTCTGAACAACTAGAACTATACATCTGAAGTAAAAATGGTTGACAAAACAGAAAACAACAACAATATACTTAAATACAAACTGATTATCAAAATTCTTCATTCTCATGAAATTTCACAAATTTTTCATAAAATTTTAAAGGATCCATTAAGGATGTCTCTTCCAGTTCCCAAATATAACCACCCTTTCTACTCATGTATTCATCCAATCTTTTCTTGAACTCAGTTAAATTTTCTGCCTCCACCACCTTTGAAAGCAGCTCATTCCAAAAGCCAACCACCCTGTCTAAATAATGCTGTCTAAACTGCAGACGACTCCTATGCTGCCAAAATTTGAATTTATGACCCCTTGTTTTTTGTTTTCACTGCTAAACATAAAAAAGTTTGATGGATCTATATTATTAATATCCTTAATAATCGTAAGCACCTCAATCAAATCCCCTTTGACCCTTCTCCTCTCTTGAGAAAACAAGTTGAGAGATTTTAATCTCTCCTCATAGGGCAATCCCACCATCCCAGTGGCTCTTCTCTGAACCTACTCTAACAATTCAATGTTCTTTTCTTGAGGAAGGGAGCCCAAAACTGTAAACAGTACTTTAAATGAGGCCTTACAAGTGATCTATAAAGTGAAACAATAATGTAAGGAAAAAAAAACTCCACAGCAGCTTAGCCTAAGTGAAAAACATTTCCTAACATAGGATGGTATAGCTTTTTGTTTAAATACATTTTAATTAGAGATTTAGAAGTTTTCATTTTCATAAAATACAAAACTAAAATGTTTAAAATCTCTTTAGTTACATTTTTCTAATTAGCTGGTACAGCACCAAGAAACATTTGTAGAGTTTCTTTTTTATTTATTCATTCATATAACACAGTGCTAACTAAATTCTATGGTAAATAAAGTGAAATTCACTTGATCAAACAGCAATATTGTTTAGGAAAAGAAACTTGAATAATTTTCTGTCTATTAAACAATCTTTTAAATAACTAATTCAAAAGTTGAATTTCTGATCATTTTTTCTGGTATCTTACCGTGAGCAGTTATTAAACTCAATTTCTTCACTTGCTCTGGTGCTGTTACTACCTAAGTAGTACTGAGTGAGTCTTGTGATACAGTGTGTGGTGTTATCCTCATCGTAAAAGAATTCTGGGAAGGAATCGCCATGCTGCCACCACAATGAAGATATCAAGCTACAGAACAAAAAGATTGGTCTATTAAGAAATAGAAATCCATGTTTCATACAAATAGCAAGAAAATGCAGTGTTATACTGACATTTCAATTTAGTATTCACAGTTCAGTACTGAGCTAGTGAAATAAGCACTAAATTAAAATGATTTAATTTAAATAGTACTGCATTCTAAAATGTACTTTTGTTGGTTTAACAAACTAGTAACATTGTGTGAAATGTAAAAGTAGCTAAGTAGTAACATATCAAGCTTCTTGATTTGTGAAAAGTTACAACTGAATACAAAAAAAGTGCAAGCTAAAGTTAAATTAGTATTAAATTGTTATTTATTATCATGAATTAAAGGGTATCCAGAAATCAATAACAATATTTTTTTACTTATGTTTCAGAGATATAAGCTTTAAACCTCTTCTAGAGTTGCAACTAGAATTATTAAACAAACAAAATTACATCATGACAGAGGAACAGGAGTTTCAACATTTTCAAAAGAAGTGTTAATACATTTGCTAACATGTTATATATGCATACAGTTATCTTCTTTCTTTAAGGAAAGGAAATGACTGGGATTAAGATCTCCTCTATTCTTATACAATAAATAGATGAAAGTTTGACCAAAGAACATAAATAATATAGTACAACTTAAAAGCAAGAAAAGAAAGGTTAAACTATGTAATTTGTTGAATGACTCAAGTATTTATAGTTTGCAAACTTTAAATTAATGATAATTACCTGTCTAATTTTGCTTATACAAGTCACTGTTTATGGCATCGAAACCTTGCATAAAGTATGTGTTTAATTAACCATCCCTCGTCTAGTTCATCCAAAAATAATTACACAGTTTTTCTTAGACTTGAAATCTCCTAAGATGACATGTCACCTCTGACCCTTAAAAGGCCCAGTTCCTTCTAAAATAACTAAACAGTTATTCCAGGCACTGAAACATTTTATAAAGTATATGTCTAATTCCAGATACCTAATCTAAAGTCCTAGTTTACACAAAATAACTATACAGTTATTCCAGACACCGAAATCTTCCACAGTAGTTTCCAATTATTTTCATTGTTTCAAATACTTTTTGAAATGCTGATGTAGAAGAATAATTCAATAAATTTCATCCATGTTCTACAGCACTAAAGATTACCTATGTAACCCCTGAACAAAAGATCTGTGTAACATCAATAGGACATTTCAAAACATCATCCATAATAGTTAAAAAGGAACAAATTTCCCTTAGTTTTCCTTTAAGATTATTTGACATGATGAAAGTTCATATCATTAAAGAAAAATTATTTGAGGTTTCAGTTACATTACAGATAGAAGTGTTACATGTTGTTACTTGACATTTCAGCTACAGTAAAGATTGAAATGTGACATGTTGTTACTTGACATTTGGGTTGTAGTAAAGATGAAAATGTGACATGTTGTAACTTGACATTTGAGCTTTGGTAAAGATGGAAGTGTAATGCCTTGTTACTTGACATTTGAGCTACAGTAAAGATGGAAGTGTGACATGTTGTTACTTGACATTTGAGCTGTAGTAAAGATGAAAGTGGGATGCCTTGTTACTTTACATTTCAGCTACAGTAAAGATGAAAGTGTGACATGTTGTTCTTGATATTTCAGCTGCAGTAAAGATGAAAGTGTGACACATTATTACTTGACATTTCAGCTACAGTAAAGACAGAAATGTGACATGTTACTTGACATTTGAGAGGCAAAATGTCACACTTTCATCTTTACTGTAGCTGAAATATCAAGTAACAAGATGTAACACTGCTAACTTTAATATAGCTGAAATGTCAAGTAACAAGATGTCACACTTTCATCTTTACTGTAGCTGAAATGTCAAGTAACAAGATGTAACACTGCTAACTTTAATATAGCTGAAATGTCAAGTAACAACATGTCATACTTTCATCTTTACTGTTACTTGACATTTCAACTACAGTAAAGATGAAAGTGTGACATCTTGTTACTTGACATTTCAACTACAGTAAAGATGAAAGTGTGACATCTTGTTACTTGACATTTCAGCTACAGTACAGATGGAAGGTGACATCTGTTACAAAGAAAGGTTTATTATAGACTTACAAAACAATCAGAAAATACTGTGATGTTTTATAACCTAATGAAAATATTCAAACTTTTGTTTGTGAATTCTTTTATTCATGCACTTTCACAAGACATAAATCAAACATAAAGAACTGTATGACCAGTGTCTGTGCACTTACATTATGATACAGGTAGACAAATAAAACATACCTATAAAACCAAATCCTAGCTTGATACCTTGAAGTAGAAAACAGGAAATTTAAAAAACAAACAAACACAATTTCAGTTTCACAAAAGTTACAAATCTTTCAACTACAATTATATAAAAATCAATTAATAATTTGAAAAAGTTCATAAAACACTGTCACAATAACACACACACTCAAACCTGCCATCCAGTGGTAAATATGTTGTTCAAAGTTTAATTATAAAATGTTTTATTAACAATACTCATTCACCTGGAAGGTTGTACAGTCCAAAAGCTTAAAAAATGACAGACATTTCTTGATCAGCTTGTAAGTATTTTGATATATTCAAAATATTTTATCATGGCTTAAAAATGTCCCTCACACAAAATTATATATAATAATGCTAATTTTAAGTTGCTTCAAAATATAGTTTCAGTAAAACTTGTGCCTGATTTGAAAGCTTTTAATTTTATATTCATCAAAAAAAGAAAGATAAAAAGAGACTAAAAGTTATAATACAAGAAATTATAGTACAATATTTTTACCATTTATCTGTTTTTATTCAAATAAGGATATCATAAGTGGTATTTTAAGTTATACGAAAAAGATAAGTTTGATTTCTTAAACCAAATATTTTAATCTGCTCATGCTGATTAAAATCCAAGGCACTTTAATATAATTACTGGGATTTTCCTCCAAACAACCCTGCTCACCATGCTGAGAGGTCAAAGATCCAAGTGACACTCAACAAACTTCCAAATGATGACCCCTACAACAGAATAAAGCAATATACATGTTATATACTTGTTTACAAAGTTGAACTATTACAGATATTTATAGAATTCAAATCTCACATTTGCAGATTATCAGTAAACATTACAACGCTTTCATACACAAAATATCAGATTTTTTAAATTAAGTTTTAAGATTTTTAAGTAATGATTTGCTTGTGCACTTTTTCCTTTTCAAATGTTGACTATCTACCATGCAAAAGTAATTTTGATTTTAGGATTCAAAATACTTTTATGCATCAGATTTGACAAATTTCACAAACAAAATCTTTATAACCACCAGATAATTATCAAAAATATTTTTTTGAAATAAACTTTATATTTTATCTATGATTATCACTATTGTATCTCCATATGGGTTTGGTTGACTTGACCAACCTTGTAACCAACATAAAAAATTAGGAAATAGATATAAATTATGTTTTTTTGTTCTAGAATGACTACAGATTATAACAAGAAACCACAAACGTTTAGTCTAAATAGCTTCCATTTCATAACATTATACATCTGTATATATTTATTATTATTTTATTGACCTTTAAGCTGTGTCTTTACAAAGTGACCTGGCTTTTTTGTATTTTGTAAAATACAGTCACATTTTGGTTATAATGCATTACATATGTATATATATTATTACTATTTACAAATAAGTTCTTAAATTTCAGTTATTTTTCTTAAAACATAGAAGAGTAGATAAAGAAATATAGAACGCAACAATGTTTTTCTACTTACCAACTTTGTACTCGTTTGCCTGCTTGCCATACTTCGCTAAGCCTTGTTAAATTTTGCAAGTGAAGGATGTTAAACAAAATAATTTTTTTTAGGTTTTATATATGCATTTTGAAATAACCAAATATTATAAATTACTCTATCAATATTGTATTTGGGTCAAAAAAAAAGTTTTAAGAACAACATTTTCACCTATCCCTTCCTTCTGAGATTTGAGAACAAGAAATAATCTTGGAAACTTTCCACCTTCTAGCTGAGAAAAACCACGTGATGGACATTCTGAGCTTTTGATTGGTTATTCACACATTATAGACAGAAGTAGGTGTACGTAAGGCAAGTGGGGCCTACTGCTTTTGATTCGCTAAATGTAATGATATCTCAGCAAATAGAAAAAACAGGAGATTCTTATTTTATATTCTAGCTTGTCAATATTGGTAGTTTGAGTTTTTAATTCATAAGAAACTATAGACTTTGCATTTGAACATCACAATCATATAACTTGAAACACAGCTGCATTCAACATACAATGTAACACACAAATATTTAGGAATTTTGTTTTAATATTTATTTTTAAATTAAGAAATTA